CCGCCCTCCTGATTAGCCTAGGTGTAGCTGGGTTTTTGGGTTATTTTCCCTTTTTATTATTATTTTTAAATGTGGTATATGTAAGGCTAATATCTCTTCGTAATACTTTTTGTAGCCTTTCTGAACACCTATTATTTACAGCACCTAGTTTGGTTTTAAAATGAACATTCAGAAGTTCCTTTGCATGTGTGATATCTTTTTTCCCTCCTTCAAACCCTAGTTTTCTATGGATTGTTGTATGGTTTCCATCTGTATTCAATTGCTTCCAACTCATCTGTTCTTAAACATAAAAACTTCACCTGAAAAGCGTCTCTTATTTCTTCTGTCACTCTGTTTTATGAATGCTGTGGACTGTTTATGAATAAAAAAGTTTGTTGTATAGCAATTCTGAAGCGAAAGACTTTATGTAGCTTATTTTTCATTTTAAAACAAAAGAGTTGTGAGATCTAGGCCACTGGATTTCTTAGTATTTATTGTTGGAAAGAGTGTTTCCCAATGAAGATAAAATTATGTAAAGGATATCAAGAAAGCATTTGGGTTTCAGCTGGAAGACCCTGAAGTTTGTAAAGCAAGAAGAAATAAAGATTAAAGACCAACTCAGTATTGTTGACTCAGATAACTTTGGGGTTAGTGTTCTTTTCCTGTGGTGTGTTCTTTAAAGTGATCTAGATGGTGATGCCTCGCTGCCATCAGATCTGTTCTGCCCTTCTGGGTTTCCGAGACTAAATCTTCTAAGGCCTTCTTTTTAACCCATGTTGTGTGTAAACTACTGACCTTGTGGTTAACTCTTCACTGCATAACCCACTATTCCACCAGAGCTCCTATCTTACAATCGTAGGTTTTTACAGTGATTAAAAAACAACAACTAAACTCGCTGCCGTCGAGTTAATGCTGACCTGTAGCAACCGGCTCTGGGTTTCTGTGGCTGTAACTAACTGTTCAGGGGAGTAGAAAGCCCGGTCTTTTCCAGTGGAGCTGATTGTGGCTTCCAAATGCCGACCCTGAGGATCTTAGCCCAACGCATAACCACTACACTATCAGGGCACTGTCCTTGGTGATAACATGATTTCTTTTTCTAATTAAGATGCAAAACACAACCATTTGCTTTTGTTGAAGGGACAATTTCGTAATTGTGAGCTATTGCTGAGGCTGACCGGTCTGTTTTTCTTGAGGATAGCTAGTCCTTCGTGTTTCACTATATTGCTATGCTTGTAGAGTTCAGCAGCAACATTTCATGTCCGAGAGCCTGTGAGAGCGCTGACCGGGGCTTGCTTTCAGAGTTGAGACAGGCAGGCTTGGGGCTTCTTCCCTGCTTTAACTCACAGGCTGCAGGTCTTCATTGCTTTGTCAAGGGATTTTAAACATTTTTTAAAAACTGCCAGTCAGTTCCACCTCAGTAATCCTGTGTCGGGTTTCTGAGACTTGACATCTGTATGGGAGCCCACAGCCCCATTTCTCAGAGGGGATGGTGAAATGGGGCCACCAGGTTGTGGTTAGCAGCCTGACACCTCACCTACAGCACCGCGAGAGCTGTCGGCCATCGGGTGTGGGTTGCTTGGGTGAACTCACACACCTTTTTGATTTCCCGACTTTCTGCCATGACCTGAGTTCCCACAGGTAGACTAGAAATGATCTCTGCATATTGTGTTTTTCTATTTGCTTAAACATTGTGATGACAAAAATCAGCCTGCAGAGCTGACAGCTGTGATTTTTAGCGGCCATCTCCCCAGACCAGGTCTAAACCAACCAGGACAGTCCCCGGCACGTCCTCTGGGACCTCTCCCGTGTAAAGAGCTTCAAGGCACCTGCAGGTGGCTCCTGGGCGAACACAGCCACAGTGGGGCTTTCCCAAATAAG